TATTTAATTTGCTTTTAGTACTTTCAAGTACTATTTGAGAGTTTAGACAAAAAAAAAACTTTCTTTATAAATTGAGTCCCAAAGAAAAAAAAGATTCCTCTATTCTATTTTTTATTAGTTGACATCTATGTTACGATACCTACCACAATATTTCCTCTTTTTTTACAAATAATATATCAGCATGGAAAGGGAAAACCCTAACTAGCTGGAGGTGTTGGTGATGAAGCTGAGTTCGACGATGCATCTGAGGAGGGTGCAGTGGTGGTCGTGGTGGGAGGTGCAGTGATGAATTTGTATGAGGCTGGTTTTAAGTAGCTGGAATATCAAGTAGTGTGGGGAAAAAAATATATATAAATTAGTATAATGATATACGGGTACATTGTTATACAAATGATGAATGAGAATGAATCACCCAAAATACAAAGGAGTTTAATTATGATCATAATGAAGTATAGAAGCCCATGTGCAAATAACCAACAGATGAAACAAAACACAGTACAACATAAATTACATTCAAACTTCTTTTTTAGTATAAAAAAAATATGCCAAAACAATAAAAAATACAACAGAAATAACTCTCAAATAATATTTATACATCTATCTTAACTCACCTAAATGGAGAAGTGGGATAAGCCACAACACTAAGCAAGTGGCCATGGAAGTGGAATTGCCACACGTCCTTCCACCCGGCTTCTGCATAGATGTCCCAGGTCTTGAGGCACTGAAGGGAAGAGAAAAATCATTTGTTTTGGGTGGAAGAAAAAGGTGTGTACTGTTTACGCTGATAATCAAATTGTTTGTGTAAGGGAAATAAAAGAGACACGAATGATTCAGTATACTGGGAAAATGAGTTGTAAGTTCATTTTAATATCTGATGTATTGTTTTTGGGGAAACTTAGAAATTGCAAATACTGCAAGTAGAAATGAGGGTATGAATGATTTAGTTCAACAGTCAATTTTTTTTTTTTAATTTATAAAGGATTTTTAACCATTATTCGGCTAATAGATTAAATATTTTATGTATCAGCGCACTGCAGATGCCAATGCAGATGAATATTACCAAATCACAACTACGGGACTTAAAGGAACATGGCACAGTGAATAATCCGGCACTGTCCTGAAGCGAGGATGCCAGAAAAATCAGAGATGTACTCGTATGTACTCAGCAGCAGATAACAAAGAAAGAGATTGATATAATTTCGCCAATAATAATGTATCGGTACTATGACCAGTAAATCAAGAGAATGAAAAGCTCACCTTCATAACGTACTGCCAGTCGGCTTCTCCTTCTCTGCTGCTGTTGTAGTTAACGAACAAAACGACTGGATTCTATAAAGAGAGAAAAAAAAGAAAAAGAAAATCATAATAATGCACACATGATACTCAGATAAACCAATTCCCTGCACGTATCCCCCCCCCCCACACACACAACACACACATACACACACACACACACACACACACACACACACACACACACACACACACACACACACACACACACACACACACACAACACATACACACACACACACACACACACACACACACACACACACACACACACACACACACACACACACACACACACACACACACACACACAAAATCTAAGAGGAAAATGAATACAATTTACAATACAGTCACATAACAACTAACACCACAAGAGAGAAGACATAAGAATCAACTTACATGGTCATACATGAAATCGTGCTTGCAGAAATCGAATGCAATAGGGTCAGATGCTTTCAGTGTATTCAGGAGCCACGCCTCATATTGGGATAATTCTAACCTGGAAATAAAAGGAAAAATTTGTTAAAATAGTACGAAATATTATATACATACATGTATGTGTGTGTGTGTGTGTGTGTGTGTGTGTGTGTGTGTGTGTGTGTGTGTGTGTGTGTGTGTGTGTGTGTGTGTGTGTGTGTGTACGTGTACGTGTGCGTGTGCGTGTGTTTGTGCGCGTGCGTGCGTGCGCGTGCGTGTGTGTGTGTGCCCGCCCACCCCCTGGCAAAGCCTCTGACCTCTCGAGCTCCTCCTTCTGGAACTGGTAGTCGGTGGTGAGCGCCAGCACGTGGTCGCGGAAGAGGTTGTACTGGACGCCACCGTTGATCGTGATGCCGCTGTAGGCTCGGTGGCGGGCGCGGGGCACTTCCGGGTACACGATGGCCCGCCCGGGTTTCTCCTTTATGGCGTCGATTAAAGTGCGGTACCACTCGCGGGTCTGTGGGAAAGACATGGGTATAGAAAGATGTTTATTCCCGTCAGTCTGGATTTCCCTTTGTCTTTCTATTGGTCGCCTGGTTTTATATTATTATTATTTTTTATTTTTTTTTTTTTTTGGGGGGGGCAGTCATCAGAAAAAGAAAAAAATGACAACAGCAAAATGTATGAAAGGATAGAAAAAAAAAAAAAACAAACAATGATAATGAGAAAAAGATATATATCAACAGAAATGAGGAGAAAATTGATGATTTGTTGAATAAATAAACAAACA